GACAAACATTGAAAACTAAATATAATAATGAATACATACTATTTCTTTCTTAGTTAGATATGCTTAGTGCATAATAGCCACTGTCAGAATTTGGACTGAAGTAATGGTGGTATTAAGGAGATAATAATGACGACGACGACAGCGACAGCATGGCAGAAGAGAACGGACGTGATGCTTGAAAAAGAAGAAGACTCCACCTGACCATGCGATCTCGCTTTTTGTAATGATCTTCCATTTTCACTTTTTTTCCAAAAAAAAAATCATTCACAAAGCACGGTTACTTAATTGTTCGATTAGGATGAAAATAAATCAGAATTTTCTTTGCTATTTGTGAAGCTGAAATCATAAGGTCATGTCGAAGTGCGTTCTCCTAAAACCAGTAAAAATTAGTACCCAATTCAAGAAACGTGAAAAACTCAATGCAGTCGTATAACTTCAAGAAGCGCCTAGAGGGCAAAATTGCTAATATGTGGCGACAAGGGGCCATACGTTTTGGGTGTTTTCGACGCTCTTCCTTCCCTTCGGGTCGCTTCACACCCCTGCTCCCATATTTGAACAGAGCTGCACACCAATTTGATCGTGGAATGTGCCTCCAAATGAGCCTTGAGCAAGAATTGATTGCGATCACTAGCGCTGATTTGGCTCTGTTTAGATTATTATTAAGAACAACTGCTGTGTAGATGATCCGATGTCCGAGAGCCTAAGCAGGTCAACTCAAACAAACCTGAGCTTACCTGGAGTTCGACAGGTTTGCTAAATCTCACTGACTGTTGTCATATCAATACTGGTATTTGCTATTCGCTATAGACTAATTACGGATAAGCAGGTTAAATCAACCCACGAGTCGAAAAAACCTGCCCCAACTTCACTACGAAATTCCATCCACTCCCATCAGCAAAATCCTAACACGTAAAATTTGATGAAAATTGACGTGCTGGGTAAATCCAGTTGGTATAAAAGGTGTGAAACAGGTCAATATTTGAAGTGCAAGAAAGTACCAGGTGTACCAACTTCGAATGCTTCGCAGCTCTTAAAATTGTCGTAAAGGCGGAATGTGACTGACCGTTAGTGTGTAAGTTCTTGTTAAACCTCTCAGAGCTCACGGGATATTTTTGGAAAAAATCATACAAAACGTTGCCTCAATTTCCACTTGACAAGCAAGATATACGTCCTTCATCAAAATTCGACACCAGGGCGCAGAGCGAACCAATTCAGAGATGGCACTAGGGTGAGATAGCTATTCGGAGGGTACATCTCCATTTAAGGATTCTTTTCGGCCTTTTGCGATTTCACTGATATATGCCTCCCCCACCTGTTCGATGGACATTTTTTGGTTGAAGGGGCGATTACGATAGATTCGAGAAGGGTTTAAGGAGACGTGGTGGTGCTCAATGGTACGCCAGTGGCGAAAAAAGCGAGAAATCCGTCAAGAAAACGCAAAACGGGACCCCCTTTTTGGCCGTTGGTTTTCACTCATGAACAGGTAACAGCTCAGAAAGCGGACGTATGAACGAGTTCACCGCAACGCGTTTGGTGGCACATGCCAAACCACGCTCCAATCGAGTTGCTCCAGTTGTGCCGCTGCTGGCAACGCAGCTCGTCCAAATCACCAACTAAACTAGTGGGCGGATCGCTTTTGGGGGCGGAAAGTCCTGCTCAGCAACCAGCGCACCTTTCGTCGTGAAAGCGCCACACCTCGCTTCCTTGGCAGCCAAGTAACTGCTTCGTGTGGTGCATATGCTTCCCCGATGCGCTTCCTCCTTATCGTAATCGCTGCCTTTAAAAGCCATTCAGGTGAAATGGAAGAGGATCGGAACATGAAGTAACACCATTTGGAGGAGGCTTAGGAGTGGAGATGGACATTTTTTGGAAGGTGTTGTTCAGCCAAATTTTGTCGTTACGTGGCTCACCCCGATTTGAACCTGTCCAACTTTTCAAGGTTCAAGTTTACGATGACGAAAATACCACGCCCATGTTTTGCAGCTCGAATCCTCGCGGGCCAAAAACTCCAAGTGTCCCACAATTGTACCAGGCCTGTGCAAAGGAATATTGGCCATATTTTGTGTAGTGACCAAACTCAGTAACTCTTTCTTGGGAAGCCGAATGGTCTCAAAGTTTCGAATTCCAAATGTGAGACGAATGTGTGGCACATTACGAAAGCATTGTAGAATTTTTTCTCTTCCGTCAATTTTTACCTGATTTCTATACCTTTGACATAGTAATCGTTTGACCTAAGGTCGTACTTCGCTCTGATGGTGTACATTGGGTGACCGACGAAGCGCCTATGAAAAGTCCAGACGAGGTGGGCATGTTTCTATGGTAATTGGAAGGAAAATCAACACAGCTCCCATGATTGAAACTATCTGTCTAAGCGAATGTGCTATTTTTAAGGTAACACGGCTTGTCGAGCACGAGGGCGGATTACGAGTATGTGAGCAAATAGGTACGTCCAGAATACAACCCGTAGATATCACTGAAAAAATTCTCCTGTTTACAGTGTGTTAATTAACATTTTGACTATAGTAGTGGTGATACCGTGAGGTGCCACGCCTCGAAAAGCGTGTGGGACGACGTGGTGCCAAATAGTATCATACCCATTTTTCCCCGCTTCATTTTTTCCAGATTACAGGTCCCCATGACAAATTTATAAAAACTAAATATAATAATGAACACATACTATTT